TATATATATATATATATATATATATATATATATATATATATATATATACACACACACACACAGTACACAGCATATTATATACATATGTGTACAGCATATTTACACCATGAGAGAAACATAATTAAACTCTCTCTATACCTCCATCCCTCCCTTTCTTGTGGTCCTTTTCTCCCTCCTCTTTTACTCAAATGAGTATATAAACTAGTCTGGTCTTCAGGTCTGGAGTTAAAATTTACTAAGCAAACTGAAAAGGTAAGTTTTCTCTTTCAATGATGTCTTTTATATTTATGTATTTATATTTGGTATAGCTTATTATTGGTAATCGGTTTCTCCTTTTTATATTCTATATTAGATTTTTTTTTTAATTGAAACATTTTCAGGATAAAGAAGATCGTATTCAAGCTTCATGAACTTTTTACAGTCATCAAGATCATTGAAAGGAAGAGAACAACAACAACAGTCTCTTTTTTTTCCAAGAAAAGGATTATCACTTATAATAATCAGTACACCAGCACACAAGGACAATGAACTCTACTGTGTTTCTCTATAGTGTACAAGAAAGATATGCAGATGCATTTGCAAAAAATTTTACCATTGTTCTTCTTGGGGTCATAATTATTTTCATCAATGGAATGTTTGTACTGACATTTTTCAGGAGTTCATTTTTCTACAACGATCCAAGATACATATTATACATTCACTTGGTTATCAATGATATGCTCATGGTTTTTTTCAGTGTAAGTCTTGTTGTGATGGCTTATACATGGCAAAATGTTCCTCTCCCGTTCTGTGTTTCACTTCTACTAATAACTGCAGCTGCTCATAAGAACACTCCTCTGACTTTGGCCGGAATGGCCGTTGAGCGTTACATTGCCATCTGCAAACCACTGCATCACCATCAGATCTGCACAGTGCACAGGACGTACATCCTCATCTCTCTGATTTGGGGTGTAGGAGTTATACCTGGACTGGCTGACTTGATTCTCCTTTCAACTCTTCGTCCTTTATCTGTTTTTTCAACAGCTGCTTCGTGTAGTTCATCAATTCTGTATACCACGCCATACCATGAAATGCAGACCAGATTTATGAATGGCCTTTACTCATCTGTTGTGTGGGTAGTTCTTTTATTCACTTATTTTCAAGTGCTGCTTACAGCCAGAAGGGCCTCCGCTGATAAATCCTCAGCAAAAAAGGTCCAAAGCACCATCCTGTTACATGGAGCACAGCTTCTGCTCTGTATGTTGTCTTACATTACTGCTGTCATAGACAAGATGTTTGTCCCACTTATACCAGTTGATCGGGCCAGACTAACCTTTTTAAATTATCTTTTAACAAACATAATACCACGACTGCTTACCCCCCTGATTTATGGTGTTCGCGATAAACTTTTTTACAAACACATGAAGGGGCTTTTTTCATGCAGATTATTCATTGTAAAGGTTGAATCAATCAAACAATGAGGAAAAAAAGGTCAACATCATCAGATGTTTCATAAAAACGCATCACTAATGGCTATACATAAAGCATGCATAATTCTTCATGTAAGTGTACCAGATAAATGTTTTGCAATACTGATGTAAATGTTAAATTTAATCAAATGTATTGCCTCATTGTTATGCCATAAATTAGCAGTGTTCTTTAGTTGTCAACAATTTGTTAAACAATTATTGTGAAAATGCAATCATTAAATGCTTTCCATGGTTTAAAATGGCATAATGACTCCATTAAAACGGCACATCTTGAAAATAATGGTATTGTAAGTGTTTACATTCAGACCTACAGTAAATGGTGTATTATGAGCAGATGGACCATAATTAACTGTACACGGGGCCCCTGCAATCTGAAATTTTCCTCTACATTTGTTTAACCAAAATGTTTCAGCTAAGCTGTGTACATGATATGTTATACTAAGTAAAATTAAAATCAAGTCATTCTCCCTTTTTCATTTGTCACAGGATACAGTATGGTTTAGGGCCAGACAGATCGAGTCAGGATACTGTCGTGAACACGCGTCCACAAGTAGAGACAAAAATGTGGAATAAAGTCGTTATTTTAGTTTTCTTCATAACTTTACAGTTGAACCACTGATGTCACACGGACTACTTTGTCGATCATCTTGGTACTTTTCTGGACCTTGAACGTGGTAGTTACCTTGCTGTCTATGGGAGGGTCAGAGAGTCCTCAGATTTCATCAAAAATATCTTAAATTGTGTTCTGAAGATGAACGGAGGTCTTACGGGTTTGGAACAACACGAGGGTGAGTAATTAATGACAGCATTTTCATTTTTTGGTGATCTAACCCTTTAACTCATGTAAGTTTGGCACCAGTCACAATGCATGCTGGGTACCCGGCTGCAATGCTAATGCAGTGTCAGGTGTAAGCTTGGCCAATGCACTTCAAGTGCACTGTACTATTAAACATACGTTTTTGTGCAGAAAAACAAGACTTGACAGTGGAAGTTGTGTCCATTCTAATGAGGCTATATATAATGCCTCTTGTGGTTACTAAGTCCTTTGATATATGGGGTCCGAGACCAGAAGTTTGTGAAACAAATGAAGGAATGCTTTACTTGTAATGTTGTTATTGTAAAGATAGTACCATCATAATTGGGAATTTTATTTGGCTAAAATGTATTTAGAAATAATTTGATTTATTTAATTATGACATTTGTTTTGTTTGAGATTTGAGAGCATCAATGAGAGCAGAAGCTCTCGTGTGTATGAATGTCACTGAATTAGATAACAAAATGTCAAACCACGTGGCAAATACAGTACAAACAAATGATGAATGAACTTTACTCAGAAATAACTTTACTTTTCTGAGCCATTTTTTTTAATCAGCAGGTGTTTTAGTGATTTTTTTAGTGGATGTATGAAATCTATTCACCTCAAGTTCACAAAGGTGTTGTTAATTACATTAACTATGGGAAGAACCCACAAATTGTCTTTATTTTGAACAACCTCTATTGCTTTATCAGTTAAAATTATAGCCAAACTAGCTTTAAAATGAACAGATTTAACGTTTAGATTTTCTATTATTATTTAACTTGAGAAAAGAGAAAATGAACGAGAAAAGAAACTCTCTATGTGATGACTAAATGTATGCACACTTTTTTGTTTTATTTGGTCATATAAGAATAGCAACTAATTTAAAGCATAGAACAAGGTGTTGTTTTTAAATATTATTAATTACACAATGTATGCATGCATAAATCAAACGGATATTGTTTCGATCAGTAAAATATGCAACACTGTGACTTTATTAGTTGAGAAAGTTTAAAGTGACTGAGCGAGACTTCTACTTCCAGTCTAACGTACTCAGTTATTTCCGTGGCTTTGCAGCGCCATCTTGCGGTTTTTCTGTATAGTTTTGCTCGTGCACACCTACAGTGTGTTGAGCTCACCTGAGGAATCTCAGCGTCCGGTGACAGAAGCTTTCGAATATACAACAATAAATACATATTTGGCTTTTTAATCACTCATTATGGCCGAATGTGTACGAGAGGCCGAAAGTTACACAATAACAGAAACCCTTTCCTCTGAATCAGATCACTTTCTGTCCTGACAGAGGAACCAAACGCTAAACTGCGCTGAAAGGTAAATGTTACTGAAATGCCCTACTCTTTGACGGTTTTTTGTCAATAATAGCTCATTACAGCTAATTATAAAGTTGCCATATTTATAAATTCGTCCCTTGTTGTTCGCAAATGTACAGTATCCTTGAAAACTCTCAGTTCCTGCATTGTTTACACCCAGGTTTTGAACAGGTGTGTTTAAAAGACCCACCGCTGCAAAACAGGACAGTGGTACTAACATGTTGGACATGCACATAGTAATAGTACAGTATTTTTTCAGAATGTAACATATGTTGTATAGAATGTAAATACCATGGTAGGCTACATGAATGTGGAATATCGGGACTTAGGCTACTAGCATCTGCTGTACTGCTTTGTAAATGACACCACTGCTATAATGATTTGTCATTCTTACAGAAAAATGGCTCAGGCTGATATTGACGAGGGGTTATATTCTCGACAGCTGTAAGTTTACTGTAAAATATTCTTATTAACTTTCCTGAGGCTATCTGCATCTTGGTTAACCTCTACCTTTTTTATTCTTTCTATCTCTGATATCTTTGGAAACTGCATTGCTAGCAGTCACTGCTGCACAAGAGTGTAAAGTAGGCTACCTGAATAATCATATTTTCATTTTTAGTAATCATTTTTACTTTATTTACTTGAAGTGCTATTGAAACTGAATGCAATTATTTCAATTGAAAATTTGTTGCACTTTTTACAATAGTTAGATGTTAAAAGTACATGTTTCACATGTTTGCAGGTTGCAACAAGGTTGCATGTTTGCAACAAACAAACAAAAAGAAGAAAAAAAAAAAACAGAATTTGTTCACTGAAGCATGGAAGCATAGTAAACAAAATGTGACCCTGAACCACAAAACCAGTCTTAAGTCGCTGGGGTATATTTTTAGCAATAGCCAAAAAAACAAACATTGTATGGGTCAAAATTATCGATTTTTCTTTTATGCCAAAGTAAAGATCATGTTCCATGAAGATATTTTGTAAATGTTCTTACCATAAATATATCAAAACTTCTGTCAGGACCACTATCGTCAAAGATGATTGACAATTAGCATACGGTTTGGATTGGCGGTATGGTTCCGTTCTGGGCAAGAACTCCCTGCGCCTCCATGCAGCCTAGCATGGATGAGAGCAGGGAGAGCAGCGATAACCCCCCAGGGTAAACAGAACATAACTAACATAAATGTATTGCAGATATTGTTAAAGTTCAATCATTTTATGTACACATTTTAGAATTAGTCTGATTCAAGGAGAATCAGAAGGCTGAATCCCGACTGACAGAGGAGGAGTTGGGGATGGAGAAGGGTAATTAGCTATTGAGCAATGCGAAAACTGCTGATAATACTGAGGGACCTTATATATGAATGCTTAGATAGGTGTTGTATTCCTATAGGTAGATGGGGATCAGCTGAAGGTCAGCTGATGCGAGCTTGACTAACGTGACCTGCCAGAACTAACGCTACGCTTGATTTAATTTTTGATTAGTAATATGCATTGCTAAGAACTTCATTTGGACAACTTTAAAGGTGATTTTCTCAGCATTTTGAATTTATTTATTTATTTATTTTTGCACCCTCAGATTCCATATATTCAAATAGTTGTATCTCGGCCAAATATTGTCCTATCCTAACAAACCATACTTCAATGGAAAGCTTATTTATTCAGCTTTAAGATGATGTATAAATCTCAATTTCAAAAAATTGACCCTTATGACTGGTTTTGTGGTCCAGTGTCACAAATGTTTAAAAGCAGACATGTGATGCTTGTATTTTTGTACATGCACTTTCATTAGTTTTTCATTTTGTTGTATCAGGTTTTAATGTTAATGTAAATCATCTTTTTGAGGTCGGGTTACTTAGTTCGAGGAATTCCAGTTATGTATTTCATCAGTGCTGTATGAATAGTTATGCCCCACCTTACCTGGTCTCTTCCTGGTATTTTTCACATAAAAACCAAAGCAAAAGTGACTGGGCTTGTTTTATGTGTAGTTTAAATCATTTGTATACTATTTTTGTATTTGGTGTTTCCATGGTGTTTCCATGTTTTCTACAAAACAAAATGTGTGTGTATGACGCCATTGTCAGGCGACGCAATGACACTGTAGACACGGTCTGTGTCACTCGTTAAAATTGCTTATTTCTCTGGATTTAAACATTCTTCGAAACATTTGGGGTAACGTAAGTACACAAGTCAGCAAAATACATAACACTGTTCTAGTGGTTTTTGGATATTTTTATAAAAAAATCTTACATATTGTGCCTTAAAGAGCATTATGATTTTTTTTAAATTACTTCTTCCCTAATTCTCAGTAGCTTACTGTTTATTGTGAAACTATTTCATATGTTATTTAAATATGCAAAGTGCAAAGAATACATCATGGTAGCATTTGTTAAATTAAATGTATGCTTGTTTTATTTTAGATTGAAAGTTTTAGTTATTCTGTCACACAAAATAGGTCTATTTAAAATTTAGCATTCACAGTTCTAATGTTTTAAATATTAAATCAGTTGGTAGAGAAATTTGCAAGGTGACACAAGGTGACACTTTCACTTATAGCAAGTCACCTCATTCAGGTGATATTTTAATGCTCACAGAATCCTCTGAATGTGGCTCTGGATGAAGCAATCAGAGATCCTTAGCTTGTGAAGATGACGGACGATGACAAGAGACAAAGACACCAGTCTCTGCACCTGGCCTTCCAGGCCCTGCATAGATTCACTCAAATACAGCCGGATACCCCATACTAGATCCCAGGTCAGTCAAACAACACCTTTATGCTAAATAAGATTTTTAAAGTATGTCTATCGATATTTTCACAGGACAGGTGTGACCTATTTGACCGAGTGTATTGTCACAACATTGTGTAAAATGTTGGCTAAGGATAAAGAAAGTTGACTGACACTTTAATAATTATTGATATACTTTTATCTCCATTAAAATATTTTATTATACATCTGAAAGCATTATTATTTTTTATGTTGTTATGTTATATATAAGATATTTGCTCTGACAATGATTACATTTGATTACAATTATAAATCATACAGTGCATCATGACATCTAAAATTGTGTACAATGTTATTCTATTTTATTTTTTTTCATAACTATTTAAAAAAAGTAAATGGAAAAACAGTTTACAGCATTGTGTCTAACAAAAACAAACAAAAGTGGATTTTCACTACTGAATATAGGTCAGGAATTGTATTCTGAATGAGAAAGAAGCACTTAATGCTACGTTATAATAGTATAGAAATAGAATTTATTGCACCTTGATCTGTGCAATCTGTGTTTTTGCTGCCCTATAGGCTGATGCTGAAGTGTTGGTTACTATCACTAAAGAGCTTTGCAGAGATGCAGAGTTTGATCAGTTTGATGAAGACACTGTAAGGCAATTATCTCTGGTTGCCAGCGGTGACCTGGCGCCTGTCAATGCCTTCATTGGCGGTCTGGCTGCTCAGGAGGTGGTGAAGGTGAGCTTAGTCATATAACATTTTACGCTGGCAGCACCAGTTGAGTTTGAGACCATGGTGTATATATAAGCACATTTTTTAATGACTACATTTGTATGAAATCTTTCAGGCGTGCAGTGGTAAATTCACTCCTCTCAGACAGTGGCTGTACTTCGATGCCCTGGAATGCCTACCTCAGGAGGACGATGGAGTCCTTTCTGAAAACGCCTGTGCTCCTGTAAGCTACAAGGCAGCTCATTCTCAGTATTTAGAAAATACGAAAGTCTTTTTTCTGATGGTTTCTGAAGAACATAATCAACTGAGCACTTTATGTGCTTCTTATAAAGTGATCATTATCTTTTGTGCCGTAGAGAGACAGCCGATATGATGGGCAGATTGCTGTGTTTGGATCTGCTTTTCAAGACAAACTGAATAAACAGAACTATTTTCTGGTGAGTGTTTCACCAGCAGGGCAGGACATGATCCTGATTTGTGTTTCAGTAAACCCTGTTGGATGACTCTCAGCTACTTATCGTTGATCTGTTATGGTGAGCAGTGAGCA